CGGCCTTGAAGGAAGCTGCTCGGTTAAAGCAGCACGTGGATTAACCGAGCTGCAAGGATTCGTGGTTACGAAGCCGGTCAGGTGAAAAGTCCAGCGCCAGGAAAGGCAAGGTTGGACCAAGGTACCTGTTTGCTCGGCAGGTAGGTTGACCGTAGACAAGTGTGAGTTGTCCCGAGCTCGGCTTTGCCGAGATGCCGCCGAGTCCGGTCCTCATCTGAGCTTAACTGTTGGAGTACTTGGGCAGGAAGCGCAGCATGGCAGACGATGGCCGAGATGGTACTGCCCGGCTGCCGAGCTCCCAGGAGAATAGGCAGCCAGTTGGGTTAGGCGGTGCTTAGCAAGGTTTATGCTGACAGATGGGATAGCAGAACCACGTGTCGAGAGATCACTGGGAGTAGATTTGGGGCGCAGAAGGTATATAAGCAAGTCTGTGTCCCCATGCTTGAGATGAACATTTTGGTAAGGAAATTCTTACACTCAAACACTCCTCTCTCCCTATCCTAAGGTGTGTGCTAACTTGATCGTCGGAGGGTTTTCCGGCCACACCGCCGGGTAGCTCACCGCTGTTGTGCTCGCAGATCGATCGGACAGACAGGAGCTTGGAAGAAAAGAATACGGGCTTGCCGGAATATTTGCTCCCCGTACAGTGTACAAGGCGGTGATGGAAGATGGGAGTGTGGTGACAGTGAAGAGGATAGGAGAAGGAGGAAGTGAGAGAAAGAGAAGAAAGATGGAGGTTTAACAGAGATAAGAGGGATCTAGGATGAGAGGGAACAAGGATGGAGTGGAGAGGAGAGGAGAGAGAAAATTTGTACCATTTCGGGCCATTCGAGCTCAGCAATTTCGAGTTACGAATATTTTTTTTCAGTCGTGATAGAGGCCTCGAATTTGGCTCGAATTTGGCTCGAATGCCGTTTTTTTTTTTTTTTTTTTTGGGGGGGGATGCCGTTTTTTTTTTTGGGGCTGCTGTGTTAGTTAGTTTAGTTTTTTTTTTTTTTTTTAAAGTCTAATATAAAATATTATACATTTCGCATCAATTCATCATATAAAATTATATGAAATTAATAAAATTTAATCAACAGTTTAACTGATCAGTCAATTTTATCATTTAACCAGTCCAATTTAATTGACTGATCAGTTAGACTGTTGGTTAAAATTCGTTAATTCTATATAATTTTGTACGATAAGTTAGTACAGGATGTCTAATTTTTTGGCACACCCCTACACATAACCACTATTAAAAAAAAATTTAAAAAAAAAACCAACACAGCCTAACAAATAAAATTAAATTAAATTAAAAAAAAATTGATCAGTCAATTTTATTATCCAATCAGTCCAACCCAACTCACTTACAAAATGTCTAATTTTTTAGCACACCCCTATACATAATCACCCCTATAAAGAAAAGAGAGAAAAAAAATTAAAAGAACATGGTCCTTACTAGTGCTATTAGTGGTGATATTTTTAGTGGGATGAATCATTGTTGAGGGAACAAAGATGGAGTGGAGAGGAGAGGAGAGAGAAAATTTGTACCATTTCGGGCCATTCGGGCTCAGCAATTTCAAGTTACGAATCATTTTTCTATATATAAATATACTAGTTTTTATGCCCTTTGATTCAATAATTGTTTCAGGAGGGGGGGGGGCCTTTTTTGACATGTCTTATCAACAATTTCTCTCATCAGTTCCGTTTTGTAGCTCGAATTTCATTTGGCTCTAGTGGCTCAACTATCCAAAATGACGTCGTTTTGGGCAGTTTTTTTTTTTTTTTTTTCCTTTTCTCTCTGCAGATGAAGATAAAGAAGAAGAAGGAGGAGGAGGAGGAGGAGGAGGATGATGATGAGAGGAGGCTATGTGAGACAGCATATCATCATCATCATCATCATCATCATCAACATATCATCATTAACAACAACAACAAATCATCATCATCATCATCAAGAATAATAGACATCATCATCAACAACAACAAACATCATCATCAACACCACATCATCATCATCATCAACTCAAAACAGAAAGAGAGAGAGAGAGAGAGAGAGAGAGATAGATCTATACATACACAGAGAGAAAGACAGATACACAGATCTGTATATACACACACAGATCTATTTGTGTATACACAGATACATTTGGCGACTAAACTTTTTGTCGCCGTATATTAATTTGGTCATAGAAAATTTTCCCTAGCTCCCACCCATAAATTTCACTTGGCGCCAAACTCAATAGCGACCAAATTTTTAATTTGTCGCCAATAGTTTAGTTTTTGCGACTAAAAAATATATGGTCACCAATTATATACATTTGGAAACTAATTTCTATTTTAGTTGCCAAAAAATGTCACAAAAAATGTTTTTTGTTGTAGTGTGTTGCGACCAATTCCATCTCCGTTCGCGTTGAAGCTGTTACAAAGAATTTTCTAGAACTCTCTGGAGAATGTATGGATCTTGTATCAACAACAGTGATGTGAACGACATGTTCACCCAAACGCCTTCCTTCGGGAACAAATCCAGCTCCGGCGAAGTTCATCATAACCAGCCCAAGTGTTTGAGAAAAAGTTTAAGAGACATGAAAAGCTTTCACTGAGGCTAATGTGTATCCCAACTGTTCAATTGTTGTGAATTTTCAGTCTATGGTACTTTCTATTTGCATCTCTAGCACAACTAGTTGGCAATACAAATAAATAATGATGAACAACTGTGAAAATTGTAAAATACAACATCATAAAATGGGTAACAATATATAAATAAATGTGATTAGAATAAACAATGGTAATCAAACTCGACAGCCTCCATGGTTGGTCCAATTGGGAAGGGAAGAGAGAGAGATAGCGAGGGGTTTGTTCTTCCCTTTCTGTTTCTTACTCTCATTGCACTGTTTACATGATGAATTCTTGTTGTGATGCTTTGTGTTGACTTTTTGATCAATTTTCTCTTGTTGAGTCAAAACACAATTTTCTCTTGTTTGGTCAAAATACAGAGAAAATTGTGAGCAAATCAAATAAAATCAGTCCAAAACCAGAAAAAATTCAATTTTCTCTAAATTTCTCTAGTTTAAACTTAGAGAAATTTTAATTTTCTCTAGTTTGAACCCAAAGAAATTCTCTACATGTAATTTTGTGAATTTTCTCTAGATGTGGCGGCAGAGAAAGAGGAAAAAGAGAGTCGTCATCGTCATCAATGATATTGAGAACAATCAAACCACACATCTTTGTGTGGAAATTTTCTAAAAGAAAAGAAAAGGTGGAATTGAAAAGAAATTGAGGAGATGTTGAGATATGTTTATATATACAGACATAGATACAGTGTGAGCAAATTAGATTGAATTTTCTCTAGACTGTGTGAATTTTCTCTAAATGTGGGAACTATGTGAATTTTCTCTAGTTGTGATCATTGTTTGTAATTTTGTAAATTTTCTCTGGCTATAATCACTGTGTGAATTTTCTCTGACTGTACAAATTTTCTCTATGCTCTCTATCAAATTCTTTTCTTTTTTTGGAACTACAACCATCTCTCAACAGGTTTGGCCCTTTTTTCTTATTTATTTAATATATCATCTTTCATTTCACTTTTTTGGTAGCAAATGGATTCTAGAAATGGTGGGAATATGCAATCTTCAAGTGGTGGAGATGAAGAGTATGATTTACGGACCGAGTCAATCTCTCCTTTCTTGAACCACAGTTTTGGCTTCATCTTCAACCACCCATAGTCGCCTCCTCCACAACCACCACCACCACCACCTCTCTTCCACTGCCAACAACCCACTTTGTTTGACTATCAAGTTCACAATCTTAGGCCTTTTTTTCTGGTTTGAACCCAAAGAAATTCTTGCGAGAGCCAGGTAAATTCTTTGAAAATTCAGAGAAAATCTCTAGATCATATTTTCTCTGAATCGATGTTGAGAGACGTTAAACGTTATAAAATATTTGATATCATTTATGTTATAAAATCTTAATATCAGAGACTCTACGTTATAAAATATTTGATATCATTTATGTTATAAAATCTTAATATCAGAGACTCTAAAAAAAAAAAAAAGACTTAATGAGACATGAACCTTCCCAATAGGATTTTAGGTAATTAACCTTTTTTGTTTTTATATTTATCTTAATAAACCCTCAATGAGCAATAGTTAGGTCTATTTTTTTAAAGGGGGGAAAAAAAAAAAAGTCAATTTTTTGATTTTTTTAATATATATATATATATATATATATATATATATAAATAAAGGAATAATATAATTCAAATAAATTAATAAATTAACTTTTTTTCCCAATTGCCATATACGCGTCAGTAGAATTCATTTTAGTGAAAAACTAGGGATTATGAAAAAAAATTCATGAAAATGATCATGAAAAATTTATGACCCTTGGATTACCTTGATTAGTATGTGGTGCTTTATTTTAAGTGTAATCCAAAAGTCATGAATCTTTCATGATCATTTTCATGAAAATTTTTTCATGATACCTAGCATTGCTCTTCATTTTATCAGAGATAACATGAGTACTTTTGACACCATCTTTCTCAGAGAAATAAAACAACAGACAACACACAAAGCCCCTCCTTCATTCCCTCCTTGCAGGGGCCTTCGGATCCACTTTGAGGCCCAGTTTTGATAATCCGAACCGTTCATATTTTTAGATTTATTCAGTATATTATACCTGTAAAAAATCAAGTTGATCGGATATCAGAAAGTATGCGTTCAGAAAATTGGGACTACAAACTATTTTTTAATAAACAGTTTTCCGAACACATACTTTATGATATTCAATCAACTTGATTTTTTACAAGTATGATATACTGAATAAATTTAAAAATATGAACGATTCGGATTATAAAAATTGGGCCTCAAAATGGGCCCGAAGGCCTTGCAAGGAGGGAATGAAGGACCGAAATGAATGGGAGGATCCCAATTCCAAAGGATGGGGAACTAAATCACAACAATGATGTGATTATTCATTATCAAACTCAAGGATTTATATGAAGCTGGGAAACAAGAACATACATAAAATTATTTATTAACTTGGAGGCACGCTATGGCTCGTCCTTGATTAGTGTAGCCCATAAAAGCTTAACGTAGAGAGGGCACTGTGCTATGATAAAAAACATCACAGGTAGAAACGCTACTAAATATTCAACAACCTGTGCTTGTTTAACTATTTTTCTGAGAACGAAGAAATGCCCGCCGCAAAAAGACACCAACATGGAAGCTATTGATATAAAAAGCGCCGTCAAACCGATCAGGAGCTTTCTGGGCAAGTAAACATGAAAATCCATGGCTTCGTGAGAAGTGAGAATGGAAAGGAACATTAGCACCGCAGTGAGTGAAAAGCAGAGCGCTACGAGCGATGAGATGGCGAAAACCTCAAACATGCGATCTTGTTGGAGAAATGGTTCTCCGTTGTCTCCATTTATGCCGCCAGGCAAGCTGGCTGAGGTGGCAAAGGCAACCGTTGCAATTAATGCTGCCACGAGGGTGCACGAATCCGTGGTTTTCATTAGCCAATCTGTGTCGTTTTTCACGAGATCTTCATGTGTCTCCATAAATGTCTGATACGGGGTCTTGCCTTCGTTATTTTGGTGAGCCAACATGTTTTTTGGTAGAGGTCTCTTGATAGACTGCAGAAGTAGACATTAAAATTCATGCTTTAAATCGAATCTATTTTAATGCATATACATTATATATATTGTATTAATTTGTAACATATACCTCAAACCACTTGATTTCATATTGCATTTTAAGCACGGCTTTTGGGGCCATCCATGGCGGATATTTACCAACCCTTGCAGCATGATGCAATGCATTGTTTCCCGTTTTATCATTATGGTGTAACAAATCTTTTATGAGAGTCCAATCCGTCAACGCCTTGTAAACTTCAATTTTCCTATTTTCTAATGCTATGTGCATCACATTCTTTCCTTCTGGGTTGGTATCATACATGGCCTCAGGAAATAGATGAAGATTTTTTTCAACTAATTCCCTTATACCATTCTTTGCTGCAATTAGTATCGGTGTCTCTGCAACAAACAAGAAGAAAGTACCAATAAATTTTATTTTTCTATCAAGATTACTTAGTGAGTTCTATCAAATTTCAATATGAATAATTAGTAAGTTTTATTTTTTATAATTCATTTTTAAAAAGTTCAATTCTCCCTAATGACATTTCTATTTCCATTTTACCCTTAATAAAATATAAAGACAAAATTTTTAATTTACTTTAAAATTATATTTTTAATTCTAAAAATTAAACAAATTACATTAAACAAAATGAGAAATAATATTTTGATTAAAAGCACTTTGGCACAAAACTCATCATATTTTGTTGCATTACACTATGAAAAATATATATGGCAAACAATCCAAAAAGCATAATTTTATTAATATTCTGTTAACAAAATTAAAAATAATACAATGACAAGTTTGAAAAGAGTCGCTTGTAAATTTCAAAGCAAAATAAGATTTTTTTGATAATTTTCTCAATTTTGTTTCCAATAAGGATAGCGGAACATGTATGCAAGAGTATTCAATTGAATATTGAGAGCAAAGGAACAACTTAGACAGCAAGTACCTCGCTCTGTTTTGTTCTTTTGGCTGCTTTCCGAGGAAACTTTGCTATCTGGCACCAAATTTTAGTGATATTGCCACATTTATGACTTGATTATTGTTGTGTAAAAATAAAATAGAGACCTAGACAGAAGGAAAAGGAACAACTGGAATAAAGAGATTACCTTTTTTTTCTTGATTACTGTCAAAATCGCTGTTATTCGATATTCTAATGAGCTCAAAAACCTCGTCACATTTGGGTTTGCATCCAGCAGCAGTATTCATATAATTATGTGATTGAAGTTCCGAGAGAAGCATATTCATGATCTCAATAGACTTCCTGTGCTTTTCTTTCATCTCTAGAATCACCACTATTGGTTCAAGGAAACACTTCACTGTCTTCCAAACACCTAACCATATAAGAGTAATAAATAATTTAATTCCGTGCTAATCCTTTATTTTCTTTACTCATTGTAATCCTATATTCTCATATATGACTCTTATGACACACGATATTCCAATTGATATATAAAAATTAAAATATCACAATAATAAGAATGATTTTGTCTGATGTTGTAATCCTTTGTACCCTTTAATTTAGTCAATAAATAATGTATTTTCGTTAAAAAAAAATTCACAAATGAAAAGACCCATTTAATTCTTATAGAAAAAAAATCTTCAAAATCATTGAAAAAAGGACAAATTAAAAAATATATACTGCTTTTTGGGATATGTAGAGTAGTGAAAGTGGACCAAGAATTTGGGACAAATGGAATAATAAAAGAAAGAAATGATTGCATGGGTTCAAATCAAGCGATTGAAAGAAGTTTTAATCTTCAATGGGCGAAAAATTGTAATCTTAAGGAAAATGTTGGGACCGTCTACAAGATTTGTTCTTTGGCATACATACGTGACTTTTTTAATTCCGGAATGAAATAAATAATTATGTTTATTCCTCTGTTTCAATGGTAACAAAATTCAAATATACTTACCTTCTGGATCAGTGGTTTTGGATTTATAATTATGCACACAATCTTTTGTTGTCCACTTCCAAATCTTTTCTGGTAAACCTTGTAAAAAAAGAAAAAATTAAAATTAAAAATTAATTAATTAATTAAATTTATTACCCTGCTCCTATCCAATGATAGCAATATTATAAGCATCTAATACCCTTCCCCAATAATAATCTCCCCCTCAAGTTTTGGTAGTTTAATTTTGCTAATTTATATAGTATTTCCCAATAGCGAATTACTATGATAAAGGGAACAATTATTTAGTATTTCATTAATTAATTGATTGATTAAGATTTGAGTTTTGGGTTGGCAGGGATGCTTACAGTGATACAAGGTATCTTGCAGCCAAGTTCGGGGACAACTACTTTTGAATGCAGCGCTCTTCGTGGCTAAAAGATGGAGAGGTGAATACCCTCTCCGATCAACACGGTGTACAAACTCTGGAAACTGATGAACTATTTCAAGTGCCAAATCTGCCAAACATGAATTAACATATCTATATAGCTAAAAATTAAATTATTTCGCAGCGCCTCTCACAAAAAAGATCAAAGTTTGAAATATGTACACGTATAAGATTAATTACCAAAGTACTCTTCATTGATGGCACAGTGAAGAACAGTGCTGCCTTCTTTGCTCCTTGTACCATATTCGTAGATTTTGGTGAGGCTGGGATCATTATTGCAGCAGATATTGCAGAGATTAATGAAGGAATCTTTAGAACCATAGAGAGCTGCCAAGAAGAGAGGAGTCTCGCCATCTTCATTGCGAAGACTGATACCATCAGGTTGATTACTAGCCATTTTCGTGCATATTTGCTGCCGGTTCTCCATTGTAGCTGCCAGATGGAGAGGAGTGTTCTTTCTGTCATCAGCAAAATACGTCAGCTGAACAAACTTCAACCCCTCAACCAGCTGCGTCACAAAATTCTCTTTCTTCTTTTCCAAACTCGCTGCCTTCTCTTTTTTGTTTTGGGAAGTCGCTGCGCTGTCTTTTATGTATAGGAAAGTCGCAGCAGCGTTGCCTTTCTCTTCGTCCTTGAGAGTCATACGTAAAAGCCTGTGTAAAGCTGTATCCCCTGAACGAGTGATCTTCATACGTAGCAAATCTTCTTTTTCTTGAAGATCACACGACTCGTATATTTGCAGAGCCCTATCCCAATCTTTTTTTTCGATCCGAAAACTAAACTCCCCCGCATTCACTGCAATTAATTTTGTCAGTCTGTCTATATCAATATTCTCAGTCTCTTTAGATTGCGCAGCCATTGCCATTATTATTAATTCTTTCTTACTTGCAACACACGCCTCCTTTTTTCAACTATTAAGGATCAACGAACATACGTACCTACCATATCATTTAGGTATATACATATAACAAAAGAAAGCATGCCGAGAATTTCCTGTGTCATTGGTATTGGATGTTTTTTCGGTCAAGCATAAACTGGTGGGAGCACAAATGCAAGAGCATCAATTCTATAAATGGGTACTGTACAACGAATCTAATATGCTAGTGGGAGTGCGTCTATATATACTATTATGAAAAATGATATATAAACTTACTTTTTAAATTTACTTTCTAAATTACATATTAAAAAAATGAATAACAATGCACTACTATTATATATGAGAGCACTAGATACGTCATTGGTATTGAATGTTTTTTCCATCAAGCACGAACTAAGAGCATCTTTAATGGCGTTTGTCAAAATAGTATTGTTATTGTTATAATTTGGCAAAATTGTCAAATTATAACAATAGTGCTCCAATAGTCACATGCTATTTTAGCAAATTTCAACCAACTTTCTTTTTAAGTTTATAGGTATTGTTTGGATATACATTTTTTAATTATTTTTTTGTTTTGTTTTATTTTGTTTATTTTTTTGCCTTTTGTGATCATTTTTCAATTGTTTGTAAAAAAAAATTATATATTTAGGGTGTGTTTGATTGGACGGACTGGAAAAGGGGGGATTAGAATCCATCGGACTTGAGTCCTGGGACTGTGAATCCCCCGGACTATTTGGTCAGATTGGATATGTATCGTGTGTTTGTTTTTTCATGGGATTAGATGTCTGGATAGGACTATTTTCAGTGAATCCAACGTTTGGTTGGACGGACTGAATAGGATAAATGAACAAAAGACTATTTTACCCTTTTTCAATTGTTTACTAAGTAATAGCAATATTAAACATATCTTTAATATTTTAATTATTTTTAGTAAACATTAAACATACTAATGGTTAAATTTTGTTTAAAGATATTTAAACATACTAATATTGATAAAAAAATTTGACTGGTATAGATTATTTTTATTTAAACAAATAAAAATTTATTGTTGAAATTAAACATACTAATGGTTAAATGTTTAAATTTTTATTTAAACAATTAACATTGAAATTATTTTGATGTACAAATTATGTTTAAACAATTAACAATTAACAATTAAATAAATGTTGATGTATAGATTATGTTTAAACAATTAACAAATGTTGATGTAATTAACAATTAACAAATGTAAATGTAATCAAATGTTGACGTATTAAAACATAATTTAATAGATGTTAAATAAATATACATGTTGATGTACAGATGTTGAAATAATTTAATAAACATGTTGATGTACAAATGTTTAAATGTTTAAATAAAACATAATTTAAATAAATGAAATTATTTATTGTTGAAATTAAACATTTAATTGTTTAAATAAAACATCTATTAAAACATCTATTAAATTTAAACAATGAAATTAAATAAAACATAAACAAAATTTTAAAATAAAACATCAATAAAATATCTATAAAAAATTAAATAAATAAAACATTAAAAAAAAGTTAAATAAAATTATTTTATTTTTAAATTGAGACATTTAAATTTTATTGAATTTTATACATAATTAAATAGTAGAGGGTCAAAATGGTCATTTTCGCATATAATCCAAACAGTGATTAGTCCCCCAAAACAGTCCCACCCCCCCAGGATAGGATAGTCCCCCATATGGGGGACATGGAGTCCGGCCGGACATGGAGTCCGCCGGACTAAAAAAAAATCAAACGACGGATAAGGAGGGAGGCCGGACATGGAGTCCAAATAGTGGATAGTCCCCCCTCCAATCCCACGAATCAAACACACCTTACATTATACCCGACTAGAAAATCAAAAAAATTGAAAAATTGAAAAAAAATTAAATATAATTCACTCGTAAATTTAAATATAAAATACTCAAAATTACATTGAAAAATAAATGATATTGCAAAATTAAAAAATACATTCTCCCGTAATTATTCATTACGAGGCAAGAGAAAATAGTAATTTGAGTTACTGGCATGTGCCGACCACTTGGTAAAAATCTCATTTTTGCGCATTATGTAATACGCTTTCATCCGAGAGTCCAAATGAGGAATGTTTGTAGTCATTATCAACATTTTTCTTTTTTTATCTAAAGTTCTCTCATCTCTTGCAAAATGTTCTTCCTTTTTGATCTCTAGTTCTTTTCATCTCTTACAATGCTTGAATTCTTTTTTCTTCTCTTTCAACTTTTTTTATTTCCTTCTCAGCAAGGTGTTGATTAAATATCTCCTACAAATTACAAATTGTAATATTTGTTGACTTCAGCTTGAACAGTTTCACTTTTTCGAAGCAATTCTTTTGCAGATTTCCTACCCATAGGCCTTTTACACATTGTAGAGACACTACCATCACCGATTAGATTATTACCAACAGTTGGATTGTTACCAACACTTGGACTGTTTGTCGTCTTCAAGAAAATGCAGTTATCCATAAGGGATTCGGGGCAGAATTAGGAAAAACGGTGTACACATCCTTGATTTCATTGTGTTCGTAGGAGTTATATCTTGCCACCTGCTATTGCTTTGCAAGATTGCCCAATAATGTTCAAAAGCAAAATGTTTGTTTTCATCTTGATGGTAATTTTGATGAAACATCCGTATCAATAAAATATTAAATTAGTTAATTTTTATATGAGACAAAATAAATAAAAAAACATAACATAATAAATGAAGATGAAATCTTACTATAACAATTCGAGACATCCCACTTGGGTGTAGTTTTCGACTTACGTTAAAGACCCACGAAATTTTTTATAACATTTTATGATTACATCCCATCAAGATAAGATAGACACTTGTGTTTTTGAGTGATCATTTTGCAGCGAGCAATAATTTTCAAAAATTCTTCTCTAAAAATGAGCATGAGATTGCGAATTCCTAACAATAGGGTCTTCAGTAATGTGACACCAAGCTCTACAAATTGCCACATCTTCTTGAGTGGTGAATGATTTTTCTCTCTTTATTTTTGATAACCTTCCATATTGATTGTGTGAAAAATAAAATATAAATATAATTGAAGATATTTTGCTGTGAACTCAAATTGGTGAAGTAAGGTGTGTGTATTTATACTATTACAAAAACATGATCTTTTTTTATTTTTTTGTTAGCCATTTAATTTATAACTGTTGGTGTCTTGTTTGGAAAATGTTGTTTTTTTTACTTCCAGATTGAATAGAGCCGTTGGGCTCATGTTACACATTCATGAAACTACCCTCACTGTTGGATCTTTATATAATCCAACAGCTGATATCAACTTCTAGAATCATCTTCCTCTCTATTTCGTTTTTCACCCTTGAAATCAACACTCTTTCTATCTCTCTCTTTCTCACTATCACCGATCGTCCTCCCTGATTGTCTTCCTCTCTCTCTCTCCCTCTCTCTCTTTCTCACCAATCGTCTTCCTATCTCTCTCCCTCTCTCTGTTTCTCTATTTCTCCTTTTTTTCACCGATCATCTCTCTATCTTTCTCTCTCTCTCTCTCTCACCCTCTCCATGTTCTCACCAATCACCTTCCTTTCTTTCTTTCCCTCTCTTTGTTTCTCTCACCGATCATCTTCCTCTCTCTCTCTCCCACTCTCTCACATCACCGGCCGTCTCTCTCTCACACTCTCTCTCTCTCTCTCTCTCTATCTCTCTCGTTAACCTAAATCTTTCTCTACCTCATATATCACACAGTCCTGAAAGCCCTAACCCTCTTCTCACAAAATCACAGATCACAGATCACAAAGCCCTAGCCCTCACAAAAAGATGGAGAAGATGAAGATGGCCACAAAGAAATGAAGACAAAGAAGATGATTGTTGAAATCGGTTTGAATATAAACAACAAATGGCAAATCGAAATACTTATTATTTTAAGTTTTCTTCATATTCTAAGATTCTGATATTTGAAGTTATAAAATTACTTGTTGGGATTTATTGAAATTTTTTGTCAAATTTGTTTTGCTAGGAAGGAGGGAGGGAAAGGGTTTATGTTGGCTAAGTTAGTACAATTGGCAGCTGTCAAAACTAGTGTCAAATTTGACACAAGTTTTGACATTTTTCAAATTTGACAGCTACCATATTCAACCATTTGAGTACTAATTTTCTACTCTAACTGTTACATTATACCTTTGATAGCTCCAATGATAAACCATTAAAGATGTTCTAATAGGAGCACAACGTCAATTCTGTAAATAGGTACAATGAATCTAATATCCTTGATTCACTTTAATAATATAGTACGAGTTACATAATTGAGTATAAAAAAAATAAAGATTAAAAATTCATAAATTCATAAATAATTATAAAAAAAAATTATAAAATTTGGTGGGTTTGTATGGCGTTAATGGTTTGGTCTTTTGACGCTTCCTTCTCCAATAACTAGATGTATTTGTTATATTTCTCACTGCAACAATTTTTGTTAAAAGTAATCAATTTGTCTGGTTTTGATTTCAAAAAAATATTTTTTTAAAAAATATTTTTATTTTTCATATTTTTTTATTTTCAATAAAGTTTTTTAATATTGATATTCTAATATTTTATTTGTACTTAGTAATTTGAACTAGTACTAATAATTTTTTATTCCCAAGGTTGTACGGAATTTCCCTTCCAACAAAGTTTTGTAGTTTCTTATATTTTCTCCAAATAATTTGTTGGGGCAATTCCACATTGCCTGGGAGGGACACTTGCAACCAACTTATAAGCATACTGGCCCCCTCCACCTTGTAAGAGGCCTTTCAACAGCTGAAACAGTGCATGGCTAACCCCCCTTACTTTCTCAAGCCATCACAAGCGAACCCCTCTTCCTCTATCTAGCCGTGTCACACACTGCAGTCAGTGCAGCACTCGTCAGGGAAGACAGCTCTGTCCAGTGACCAGTCTACTACATCAGTCGGGCTCTTCAGGGGGCGGAACAGAACTACCCATTGTTAGAAAAAATGTCCTTGGCCTTGGTCACCGCCTCCAGACGACTCTGCCGTTACTTCCAAGCCCATTCCATAGTGGTCCTCACTGACCAACTGTTGAAGAAGATAATGCAACAACCAGAGCTTTCCGGCAGGCTTATACAATGGTCGGTCGAACTCAGTCAGTTTGATATCTCCTACCAGCCTCGAACAGCAATTAAGGGACAGGCTATTGCCGAC